AATGACGTCCCTCGTTGCAAAAAAGTGACTGTTTGACGTCATTTTGATGTAATTGTGACATCCCTATTCTCCTTGTTATGTTAAAAGAACCGGTTACTGAAAAATAACCGGTTATTTTAGAATAACTGGAAACCGGTTATTCTAGCGGTTATTGAGATAACCGACAACCGGTTACAAATTTCAATAACCGCACAGCCCTATCTGGTGCGGCCTCTGGCATGGCCTCTGGCACGGGCTCTGGCACAGCTTCGAGCACGTCTGTCGCGGCGCGCAGCCATAGCGCCAGTGTTGGCGTGCCGACTGCCCGGCTCGGCGCGAAAGGTAGAAGGTTAGGTTCATCCGAAAACACCGAGCTCCCCCTCTGCGTATTTTACCACCCCCTCACCTCCTCCAATCCACTCCAGCCCCTCGCCCTCATTAAAGAGACGCCCGGCACAGGCAGGATGCCAGCGAGTTTCCACACGCGCTCGACCTACTAGCCTCCGCGGGGTGGGGAAAAGAGAAAGAGACAAGGGGGGGGGGGGGGGGGGGGGCTCGCACCTTCTCAATATCCGGCGGCTCTGTCATTGACTCAACTTTGTTAAAGACACGCTGCTTCGCCACGCTGCGTATTCTATCATCCTGGGGAGAGGGAGGGAGACATATGTCGCATATGTCCTTAGGCCCTGGGATGTGGGGTTTGTTTTGATGGTTCGTATTACTAGTCCATTGGGGGACCCCTTTTTTTCGACAGGGCCGGGGGAGCGAGGGCGACAGAGACTCTGATAAATTGACTACACGTTTCGTCCGGACCGTCGTGTATGTCCGTGTCCGGACGGGGCGCGGAGGGGCGCGGCTCGCCCTGGAGGGAACAAGATGTCCCGATGATTATCGAAGAGAATCACGCGAGCGGATGGAGGTGGGAGGGGGGAGGGAGGTATCGCTCTTGGTCAGCCTAAAATGTCATTAGCTAAATAATGATAACCTTGCTACCTATTCTAATGCATTCCCCTACGCAGGTTATAAATATCTCAATAATGAGAGCATGCAATGATTAGTCGTGTGAATGTCGTGCACCATGCTCGTTCCAAATGAGACCCGTGTGCCTGCAGCGCAGCGCCGGGGCAAGGAGCCTCTCTTTACCACACGTCGTGTGAGTGAATGTGAGCACACGTATCGGTAACAGTGTGCCATTTGAAACGAGCAAGAGATTCCAAACGCTAAAAAAAATACACATTCTATAACAAATTCAGAACAAAAGTACATATGGCATATCCTGAAATTCCTAATAAATTGTCAACAAAGATATAAGGAAAAGAAAAAAAAAGCTTAAAAAATAAAGAACAAAAAACAAAAAAAAACAAAAAAACAATAAAACGTGGATGTGTTTTAAAACAGGAAGACAGCCTAAGAGAAGGAGTAAGGGCGTGTGTTGAAGAACAAACTGCATATGAAATAGAACCAATGGCAACTTGTGTAAATGAATAATACGTAAAGAAGCCGATCTCAGAATGTTCTGTGGAGGGAAAGGCACAAGGAAATGAAGCTGATAGTGTGCGTCTTCATACACACATCGTGTTATGCACAGACATGTCATCACAGTCACTGCTTCTCGCTTTCCTTGTTTATATACTTTCCAAAGGAGGTATGATTGCTAGGCAGAAAAGAAAAAAAGAAGAAAG